TGAGCTACACGTTCCACAAGTGAGTTACAATTTATAATGGTGCAGATAGTAGTTAAACATGGTTCAAAGGGCAATAAAACAATAAAATTTAATTATAAATAGATGTATAATATTATGAACTTAGAGCTACTTAGGATAAACAAATGTAGTTTCATGTTACAATTTGAAGCCATACTAGAAAGAAAAAAAGGTTAATTTAGGTTTATTTTGATTTTTTTTGGTGGTTACGAGGTCGGTTGAATTGACCGATCCCATTTTGAGATAGGGTAGAGAAAATAACGTATAAACTATAAAATTTTAGTGAAAAAAAAACGTTTTAAATGCATTTAGGAGGTTTTAGGGATTACACAAAGGAAATTTGAGATTTTTGAGATGATGAAAAGTGTTTATAATTTTAACATGAAAATTACTTTGCACACAAACTTTTGAAAACAAATACTCAATATATTAGTGGACAATTCTTTATTTTATTTTATTTAAAATAATTCACTAAAAAAATATGAGTTTTTGTGTGTGAAAGACTTGTAATATTAACTTAAAGACTGCCAAATTTTGTGATGATATACATTCTATATTGAGAATCATAAGTATTAAATCTATAAATACTTTAAACGAGTACAAAAGGTCACATGGTCGGTCAAATTGACCAAGCCCATATTGAGAGAGTTAAGTATTAGAGACTCAAATACCATATTTGCCCAAATATAATATACACCCAATTTTGAAAGGTTAAATTGAAGAAAATTGGTTTTTTTACACATCAGTTGTACAAAATATTTTGAATAGTTTCCAAATACAGTAAACAACTATTGATCTATTAAACATTTTTGGAAATCTTTCATTGAAATGTTTTTACATGTCAATTTTACAAAATTTATTAAAAAGTTTATATGTGGTAATACAATAAGCTAATCAGTCATCTTCATCCTCTTCTGATTCCCAGAGCATGTCATCATCTGTCCCATCCATTGCGTTGGATATGCAATATTTTTTGAAATCTTTAATGATATTTGGTGGTAACTTCTAGCCAATTCCCTAACAAAACTGAATGTGTGCAAATATAATAGACAGTCAATTTTTTTAGGAGGTATTTAAAGGAAAAAAGTGTGCATTATATACAGGCAAATATGGTAGTCAAAATTTATCCTATTTGCAAATTGAAATAATGTACTGTAAAATAGATATTTTGCTTACAAGTTAAAAGAGCAGTCATGATAATTTCTTAGAGGTATTTTCTGCAGATACGTGTGAATTATCTGTTTAAAACAAATTGTTTGTCAAGTAATATGTTTAGGCATAACAACATTAAGTACTTCTATGAACAGTGAGTGTAGTGTGTCAGATCGTAAGGAGTATAAAGCATTCGTGTATGTGGTTCTTACAGAATCATGTGCTGTCATGCTTTACAAGCTGCTACAGGATAGGTGGCAAGTATAAAGCATTCGTGTATGTGGTTCTTACAGAATCATGTGCTGTCATGCTTCACAAGCTGCTACAGGATAGGTGGCAAGTATAAAGCATTCGTGTATGTGGTTCTTACAGAATCATGTGCTGCCATGCTTCACAATAAGCTGGTACAGGATAGGTGGCATGGCATTCTTCTCACTGACTTTCACTGCATGATAGAAAACCCATGAATTCATGTAGTTTGTTCTTGCTTTCCTGGAGTTATACTTAATTTGTATTAGGAAACAAATCATTGAACCTTGACCTGAAATTCTCTGCACAATTTGAAAAACATCAATACTTAAAGGAAAACACATTTTTTGCTCCATTAGTTGAGTAAAAACCTCAATTTCCCAAAAATGTTTCCTCATCAAAATATTATAAAAGATGTATTACTATAACTTAAAATATTATTTGCATTTTTAATGTGGACTTAACTTTTCAGTTATTCTTTAAGTTTAGAACTAGTACTTCTATGAGAAGACTTTGAAAATGAAGAATTCTGATCAACTCAGTTAGGCTACCCTTGACAAAGCTTTATATGTGCAATTTGGTTTTAGTGGACTTGTACAACAGGTTCTTTAATTGTGATTGTATATCTAATTTGGTGTTTGACATTTTAGTAGTTATTTGCTACTGTGTTTAGAGTTTAAGAAAAGAAGGCTTCTAATTATTTTATTGTTCATCGAATCACTTTCTGGATGTAGAAAATAGATAAGTGAAAATATGTTTCATTGAACATTTAGAATATACAGTTTTCAATTCATAATATGTTCTCAGTGATGCATTTTTTATTAGTACCTTTGGCATTATTGTTTGAAGTGTTACTCGTTAAAATATGCCCTTGATTAAACTTTTGATGGCCAGATTAGTTAAGAGCCTGTGATAAAATTTAGGAGCTCATGTGTGCCGTTTTAATTAAACTATTCTGTATACCTGAACTCAGCAGAAATTAATCAAACTTAAGAAGGAAATAGTGGTGAAACTGTGATATCTAACATGTAAATACTTTCCAGTTTATATTAAATTGGCTTATTTACTCAGTTCAAGTAAGAAGTTGGAAAATTTTCTTTTCTGCAGACTGTCAATGAATCAGCATCATTAAGAGAAAGAATAGAATTTTTGCAGGAAGCTTCGGTTATGAAGTAAGTACAATCTCTTACTTATGAATGAACAATTATTAAACAACTGTTTAAAAATCTATTTAAAATCAAAGATAATTGAAGTGAATACACTGAAAACATTATATCTTGACTTACATTGTCATGCTTAAGTGATTAAACTGGGTGCGAGAGGGTAATACATAATATTTCTCATCAATGGTATTATCATTGATAATTTTTTTTTTAAAGGTTGTTGTTATCACATATGTTTCAAAGATTGAATCAAACTCCAAGATATTTGTTGAATAGGTTTATTATGAAGTTAATTGGTCTGTTCTACCATCCACAACTCAGAAACTAATAATCAGAGAGGTGTAATATTTGGTGTTTGTGGTAGCAAGATGAAAGGATATTCCAGTATCAAAAGTAAACCTTACCATGAGATGCTATAGCGCAATTTTATACCAGTGACTTATAAAAACAGCATCAAATATGTCTAAACTTTTTCTGTTTATCCCTGAACATTAGAATTGTTTGTATAAAGTATTATTACAGCCACAGTACCCTATGAGGAAGGGTCGGTCACTATGTAGTTGTGCATACTCCAATTCTAAATGTGCTAAGTCTATCTTAATGAAATCTGGCAAACTTTTAGTAAAATGACAAGGATGTTGTACACAAAAATGTCAGATTTTGTAATAAAGTGCTTTTAACTAAAGATGTGTATGTGAATTTATGAAACCTTTACTGAGTCAATCTGACTGAAAGATGATTTTCATGCTAAGAAAAAAAAAACACCTTTCAGTTTTCATATTTCATTTGAAATTTAATGAATATAGAAAAATAATTTTCATTAAAACTTTATTATTTCTTATATTCTATACCCTAATTCTAACTATTGAAATCATCAACTTCTGGTGCACATTTCTTAATTACCTTGTCAAAGAATGAGGTTTCAAGAGCACAAAAGAGTAAGGGGAGTTATTGTGCATGGAGTTGTGTTGCAGGGTTCTACTACATGATTAAATAATCATGCATACAGTGGTGCAAATTCACATGAGGTGGGAGCTTTGACAAGCCCGTTCCCTTGGCTATGGTTTCGCTACATTCACATTCATGTGAAGAAGACAGCTAAACTGTGTGTGGAGGTATCTCTCAGAAATACATCTTCTGGTATATTCTATTGAAGAAACAGTGGTTGTACCAAGTCTACCTTTTTTGGTGAGCAAGTGGTTAAGGGAATATTGTCATGTTATCATTCCTACACTTTGGAGAAGAGGAATTTTAAGTTAAACATTCTTCATGCAAGATGGTTTTCTACCCTATGCTGTGAAGATTGAATAATCAGCAGAGATTTTTCAAATACGTAACCAGCATAGTCTCCAGATCTTACACTTGTTGAGTGGTTGGTTATGTGGCCATATGAAGTCTTTAATATACTGTGACTTGCCCAGTTCCTTGTTATGCCTGAAACATATCCTTCTACACCAAATAAAGTAACTACTGTTAAAAGCTATACAGTATCATTCAGCTGTGTGTATCATGTTCCCTCATGAATGAAAGCAGCATCGAACATGAATTGAACATTATTAAAATGTTGGCTGTGCAAACTTTGCAATCATTGTCCTCTGGTAACAATTATTTTTGGTGTTGGAGTTGTCTTTTTACACCCTCTGATTAGTTCATCTACCAAATATTATAGCTCTGTTTTGATTAATTCTTTAATTGTGGACTTGAAATAGATGAACTAACTTTACAATAACCTGTACTTCTTAGTAATTTTTGTGTGTGGAGAAATAACTTAATGCATAGCTTACATTTATTACTACATAATGTTTTGTAACTTCTTTTGCTAGACATGTTATCCAGGTCTTCATTGAACTATTTGTTTTATTATAATGTAATATTTGAATTAAATATTTTAACCTGAAAAGTTTTTACTAATAGACATCTTGCCTTGAAAATTACTTAATGATAAAGAACGAACAAGCACGTGTCCCAAAAATGTCCTCATAAAATAATATCAAAGAAAAGATAATGAAAGTCTTTTAGATTATGACCTCTTGCCCACATTGTCTGTCATACAGCATCTAAATATTGTCATGTTTTTTCCACAAATATTGAATATAATGGATCACTATGTCTTTACTAAGATCATTCAACTGCCACCATGTTGTAAAGCTATTGGGTGTTGTGTCCAAAGGCCACCCCACTTTAGTCATCATGGAGCTTATGACTAATGGAGATTTGAAAAGTTACTTGCGTGCTCATCGGCCTGACAATGAGGTGAAGGAAACTGATTTTAATATACTAGTTTTTGATAGAATTTTATCGTAGTATTATGTATGTATGTGTGTATGGTGAGGTCAGTGACTATAAACTTAATAATATGAATTTTTAGGATTTGACTATTCATCAAAATGTATTAAAATAAGTTGTAAGCTAAGCACTGTTAAATGACAAATATACCAGATTCATGTTTTCAAAGTAGAGGATATTTGTTGATATAAAACCATGTCTTAATACTTGGTAATTATTTTAAGAAGTATTTCATTGAAAGTAATGGTGAATGCTGGCCTTGAGTAAATCTATGATTTCACTCCAACATTTCTATGCAATGAAATTTTAAATTTCAGCACCAAATTCTCATCAAGTTACCTTTCATCCATTGAAGTTAAATATTAGTAATATGATGGATATATGTTTAAATTTAAACTGAGCTAGATGAATGCAATCCATCTCAAAGCAAAAAATTGCAGCAATGATTTGAAAGAACTATAGAAAATAAACTTTAGTTATTTTGCCATACGCTAGAAAATCTAAAAACTTCAGTGTTACAATTTGTTCAATAAAAAATTATTTTATTCTATCCAGCAAAATTTTTAAATTTCAAATTTTGATTTTCAATTTATTTCAGCATGCTCCTAACAACATCATTTGTGTTTGAGAACTACCTGAATTTTTTCTGAGCATAAAATGGGACTTGTATCCCTATATATTGGTTGCTTGGGGCTTTATGGTGCAAAGCAGCTAGGCTATTCTGTGACAAACAACCATTAAAAATACAAAAATAAATAAAACAATAAAAAGTAAAAACAAGGTAAAAGCTAAACAGTGCCCAAAAATCAGGTAAAAAATTAAAGAGAATGAAAAAAGGCCAATGGCCTGCAAAAATCTAAAAATACAAACAAGCTGGACAGTGTCACAATTGCCAATGGTGATGCCCCTCACATTCGTAATGACAGCATTAAAGTAAAATGTGAGCAGTTGAGACTTGAGTGTCACAAAGACCACACATTGGTGGATCAGTCCCACATAAGAGAAAACAATGAGTAAAAAAACATGTGACCAATGGGTAGCCCAGACACAACTTCCTTCCTCTGATCTCCGTAGGAAAACCCTCTACAAGGAATGTCATAATATCTTTTAATAAAATAGCTCTAATTTGTCCTTATAACTTGAATACGATTACACTTTTATTAATTTCTACCCAATCACTACTTCTCAACCTCAGTTGTCATGCTGTTGTGTAACTACCATTATTTGAGCCTCACGAAGTCATAGGCTGCTGGTCTAAACACATTATAAAAGCTCTTTTTTTTCCATTTGTTTGAACAGTTAATGCAATAATGCTTTCATTTCAGTAGCGATCTGGGTATAAACTGGAACAAAGTGATAAAAGCTTAGCTTGATGATATTTGGCTAGAATAAAAGGTGCCTGTGAACAACTTTCACTGTAATTACCATCTTGATTAGTTTTAATTGTTGCAAAAAAGCTTGCTTTATAATTTTATACTTCATTTGAATAATGATGTTGATGTATTATAGAAAAACAAGTACTTTAATTTAGAAACAAATTTAAAAGGGATTAACATTTACTACATATATTAAAACTTCTGGTTAACAATTAAAAAATAGGCTTCTTATAATTGTTGCATTATAAAAAGCTATTTTTATTGTTTGCCCATTATTGTAAACACAATGAAACTGTGTGCCCTAATTTTTGAATGAAAACAAAGCTTGAGTTTACAATTCTACGAAAGTTTTCAAAGAATATAGGAGACATAAAATTCAGTAATTAAATCTGCAACAAAGGTAAACATTTTTAGTTGTTTCTTAACAAAGGCATATCACAATATCAATGTTTTTAAGTTCAGAACTGATAATTCATACAAGTATCATGCATATATAAATAAGATATTTGCAGAAACTACATAATATGTAGAAAGAAATTCTGAAGTCTCAAACTATTTCATCTAGTAATTTTTTTTTACAGTTCAGTTTAATAAACTATACAACTGGTACATAAAATCAATACACCTAGTTCTCAAAGACTTTACATTTTTATTTTATACATTAGAATATTTTAGCTTACAAAACCTTACTTATATTTTTCGTGTATAGTGTTTTGGTTGCTTTTTACCCACCACAGTGAACTTGTGTTCATATAAAATATGAAGAATATCTAGTATTGATGCTACTAATTTATCGTTTCTTTTATTAATGCAGTTACCTGTTTGTTACAAGGAAATTCAAGTTCGGGTTGAGTCAGTTCTTGATCTAAAAGTCTAGAGATATCTTTCTCATGTTTGTTGCACATGTGAGATTTTCAAGATAGTTTTATTGGTAGGAACATTATGTAACACATCCTGCTGGTTTCAAGGTTGAATGGAACACATTTGACAAGTCTGTACTAGAGAAGTTCATATAAACCACATTATGTTTTGAGGTCTTCACATTAGCGTAAGTTATTGTCTGGAAAACATTAAAAGAAAATTGGTAAGGCATGCTATTCAAACCATGAGACCCAATTGATGGAGTCAAATATTTCTTGTACCACATTATATGATTCCTCAACATGGACCACCACAACTTCTTTCTTACAGTGTTGTTGTTGGGCTAAGGATTCTTCTACAGTAGGTGTTTGTGATAAATTCAGCAATAAGTGATCAGCACGCACTTCACTTGTTTTCAAAATAATATATATATATTTGGAACAAGTTAAACATTTTAATCATTGTCTGGAAAACTAATAGGAAATGTTTTCAAAATAATATATATATATCTTCAGAAGAAGTTAAATGTATGTACAACAAATTCTTTACACTATAGATATTATAGGCATATCATAGACACTATATCTATAGTCTCTTCTTGTCAAAAGTACACTTAGGCCTATTCATTTACTTTAGAATTTCAGTTGACAAGCCAAACTATCTTCTCTCTTAGTATTACTATTGTACTAGTACTCTTTGTGTGATTTACTTACAATTGTGGTGCGAGTTACCGTAATCGTTTGGTCCTTCTTTCTTCAAAATATCCTCTGTTCCTCTTTTCAAAGTGAACTCAGGCTGATTCAATTACTTTAGAACCACGCTTTGATGGATTAAATTATTTTTCTTATCTCCTTTTCTACTGTTAGTCTTACTCTAATATATTAAACATTAGGCCTATCACTTCTATAGTAGTTAACTTCACACTAAACTTTTCCTTGCCTGTAACTTTACTCTCTTCTGCTATTGTCTGTGTGCTGTTTCCACTTGTTCACACTATTTATATGTTTATTACTTAATCGTCTGTCCACCTTCTAGAAATCTATTCTTGACATTAATGTATTGCACAGAATGTTCAATAGCTTCAACATCAATGACTTATAAACACAACTTCCTACAATCGTCTGCTTTTAACTCTTATTATAACAAAAACTAAACACTAATAAAATATTCACTCACAAAAATAAATTGATCAATAACAGACAAACAAAACAGTCTTTTTTTTATCATAACAACTTCTATGTATACAGAAGAAACTAGGTTAATTGCTTTGTCTACACCTTCTTCTTTCAAGCTACTTAGGGCAAGTTGAGAGAAAGGAGACGAATTTCTCTGAACTCTTACAGATGCCATGCCCACTTTCTATGCATAGAATTCAGATTTATCTGCCAATTTTACTTGGTTGAACTAGATGTTTATAACCAATAGAAAGACCACATTTTAGATATGATCTCCCAATACCTATTTTAAAATTGGCATAAAGAATTCCATAGAGAACTAGTTAAATCACTCTTAGCATTGTTTCTGACCTAGAAGAACATTAGTTAGATAGACAGTTGCATTGTATTTAGGTTTTTGTTTTATATTTTACTTAATTATGTGTTATTTATGTTTTAAAATGCATATTTGAAAGGTTTAATAATTTTTTTATATAAGGCACAACCGCCTCAGTTCACAAAGGCTAGTGTAATGAGTGAACACCACCACATTCTGCCAAGCGCTAAAGCTTCTCTGCTCACACTACAGTAATATTGGCCGAGGACACCAGTTGACATGTGTTGCGATAAATAACAATACTAAAGGACAGGAAATGATAATAGAACATTAAAATAAATTATGTGTGAAAATGGAAAGACATACAGTTAAGAATATAACTAAACAAAGATGTTTTAATATTATCTGACGAAATATTAAAAGGTATTTACATTTTTCCTATGTTTTAATGTTAAACGTTTATTGTACTATACTGTAATATAAGTTGATAATAATAGCTACAGTTACGCCGTAGAGAAAGTGAAAATAAATATATATATAAACATTTACCTTAAATTGAAAAACTTTTGATATTCATTTAGGAGGTTCTATTCAAATGACATTTGAAAACTATAAGATGGAAAAAGTATTTTTATACTTATGATGTTTTGTTAGTTATGCGAGATGCTACTTGGATATATACCTATAAACTTAGAGATAACCTTTGCTGGAAATGTACACGTGGTCATTCAGTTCTATTTGAAATGTGTAATTCATCCAAAAATGAAGACATTTCATGGCTGTGTCTTAACCAGATGAGACTCACATACGAATTTTTCTTGATACATGTACTCCCATGATCTTTCACACTATGAGATCTCAGGAACATGTAGGTTAGCATTAATTATTAAACATACCATTGATGTTTTGAGCTCATACAGAAAAAGCAATTAGCAACCATGTCAGCTTGTTGCAAAAGTGAACCTGTTTGAAAATTTTACCAATAACTACCAGCTGTTAGATATGGAAAGAGAATAAAATGCATAGACTGTGAGAAAGAGCTGTAGGGTCCTATGGCTCAAATGAAGCAATATTTAACATGTAAAAATCAAGATGTGATCATTGAAGCTGGTGATGATAGTGAAGAAACTGATTCACATAAACGACCCTCAACTTCACAGACAAAAATTTTAAATCCACCGGCAGTTAAAAAACAAATCCCATCAATCAAAACTGGATTCACATTAATTTGAAACATTGAGATGAAGAAATCTCAAGTTTCATTTTATAACCAACACCTCATATTTGGTTTGTAGAACATCCAAATTTGTTTGAATGGTATCAGAGTTGAGTCTAGGTTATAAGCCCCCAAATTGAAATGAAATAGAAAATAAATTGCATGATATTATGTATAACAAAGAATGCTCTAAACTAATAGAAGCCCTTCAAGGAAAAACAGTCCGGATGGCTGGAGCAATATTCACTATGATCCAATTGTTTGCACTTCTTTCACTAGCAGTTGTGGGGAGTGATACGTAAATGCCAAAGTTGACAATGCTGAGTACCTTAGTTAACTGGCCAAATCCTCGACAGAAGACCACATTTAAAGGAAAAGTGGGAAGTGTTGTTACTGATAACGTGGAAAATGTATAAAAAGATGAGACAAATATTAGAAGAAGAATAGCCTGTTACATATGAATATCATGCTACCACACCCGACTAAGAGAATGGTGTCTGCATATTGAAAGGTTGAGGTACTTATTCACTGTTAAGTCTTTGACAGTTGTTTTTATGATTTATACTGGGAAGCAGAATGAAATGTCAAACAAAATCTGTTGATGAATGCTACAGAAGCTAAAACTGACTAGATATATAAAATGGAACTTTATGATCAACAGTAAAAAAATTAAAGTCTAAGATGAAAGAGCATATTTCTATAGTTCTTTTATTGTTTCATAACAATGTATCGACATTTAACAAACTAAAAGTGGTCACTATTTAAAAAGTTTATATCAAGTTTTGTGTAATTGGGTTAAGTATTTTCACAGTGAGAATGAAAAAGAACAGGAGCTATTAGTAATAACCCTCCAATCCTCAAACTGTTAAATCATTTTATATATTCATTAGTTTTAAACATGTTAGAGATGAGTAGTTGAAATGTGTATTTATTAACAATCTTTTTCCTTAATCCATGTTGCCAAAGTAGCATGCTTAATTAGGTCTGATAATTATTGTGCAAAGTCATCTTAAAAGTCAAAGTCACTCGGTCACTGAAAACATTGAAAAACATTAGTTATAGGCTTTGTTTATAAATACCCAAACAAGCATTTATTCAAAGATGTCAAACAGATTGTTGTATTACTTGTTAGATTATATTAAATCATAGATCATATATCATATTTGTGCATGTAGGTGAAGATCATTTTTAGTCATTGATCCAGTAGAAGAAAAAATTATCAAAATATGTTTATTTATTTCACATATTTGTGAAATGCCACCAACCTTCAGTGCAGTTGAGTGTTTATTTCAAGTAATTATAGTCAGGGATTTATAGTTACTAGTTAAGTTTACCATCAATTTATTACGTATATTAGATCTTTGGTCCAGTTAAGTTTTTTATATGTACGTGTTTGTCTACAGGAGAACCCTGGAAAACAACCTCCTACTTTGAGACAGTTTCTTTGGATGGCTGTTGAAATTGCAGATGGCATGGCATATCTTTCTGCCAAGAAGTTTGTTCATCGTGACTTGGCTGCAAGAAATTGTATGGTTGGTGAAGATATGACTGTGAAAATTGGAGATTTTGGAATGACTCGAGACATCTATGAAACAGATTATTACAGAAAGGGTGGCAAAGGACTTCTTCCTGTTCGTTGGATGGCTCCAGAGTCTTTAAAAGATGGAGTATTTACTAGCCAGTCAGATGTTTGGTATGCTTCTGGTGGCATTAATGTACATTTTGTAGTATTTTTCTGTTATTCAAGACAGGTTATATTAAATATTATACATCACACAATGCATAATTAGTTAGTTTCATATTTTTGACCTATATAATGTTTAGTGTTTGCTTTTATAAATTAGTCCATTCATATTTATTGTAGGTCATATGGAGTTGTCCTGTGGGAAATGGCAACTTTAGCTTCGCAGCCGTATCGGGGATTGTCTAACGAGCAGGTGGTTAACTATGTTGTCAACCGAGGAGTAATGGAGATGCCCGAGTACTGTCCTAAAAAACTGTATGTTTTATTTGCTCCTATAACCAAAAGAATTTTAACTAAAATTTATTTGATCTCTTCATTACATTTGTGAACATTTTTTGTAATATTCATGTTGTACTTTGAAACAAAAGTACTTAGTATAGTTTTTCAAAACCAAAATTTTACTTTATTTTTTTCTCATTAATAGATATGACCTAATGAGACTATGTTGGTATTTCAATCCCAAAGCAAGGCCAACGTTTTTCGAATTGATTGAAATGTTGCTTCCTGATGTGCCTGACAGCTTTTGGAATGTATCTTATTACTTCTCGCAACGTCCTGAAGTTATAACCCATGAAAACGAAGATACAACACTCTCTACACCCCTGAAGTCTGCAGACAACACTGAGAATCATAGTCAAGATGAAATTGACCAGTCCAGTGGAGAAGGGGGTGTTAGATTCTTTCCAAGTGCTACATACATCCCAGAGAGTACTCATCTCATAAACTGTTCTTGTTCAGATTGTAAAGAACATCAATCTCCTCTGAATGGGGGTATTAGGGGTGTTGAAGACAGCAAGCATCTTGCTATTTACTCCCCAGAGGACAGCAAAGGTATGTCTATTGCATCATCAGATGGTAGCAGTGGAAGCAAAGTGAGCACAGCCTCCAATGGTCATGTTCCCGTTCTTGAGGGAAAAATATCCAAATGCTAATGCCAGTCACTTGAGAAAAGTCTAGAGTGGCTAACTTGAGAGTTAAAACTGTGATGTAATTAACTTGGCTACCAATACACTTTTTTAATTAAATTTCTGTTTCAAAGTGCATCACAGCTTTTACGTCTTTCCCCAGTTAAATTTCCTTGTCAGTAGCAAGTTATTCTATGTCTTGTATATGTGGCAGTTGGCTCCAGTAACATAATCATACACTTTATTGCCTAACTCTTTAAGCATTAGTGATTCACATCTTGTTAGGAGAAGAATATTTTATTTCTATAGATAGTAAACACCATAGATAAAAAGTTAAGTCTTTCTTGTTATACACAAAAACATTTCTTTAGTGTGTACAAACAAATACATCAGGAGTCTGTTCTTTACCATTTGTGCATTAAGTAATTGATGGTCAATGTACAAAATATCCAGTTTAGTACAAGCTTTCATTTTGTAATATTCATTTCACACTATAAGTTGTGCAGTTCCTAGTCAACTGATAACTCTTAGTCTTATAACTAAAATTAATAACTTTCATACCAATTTGTTAATCTGATATTGACAGTTTTAAATTTCTGAATATTTTTGTTTAAAATATCAGTGTATATTACTTGACATTTTTTTGTTCTTAATACTGGTCACACTTTGCCACTTTCATTTAGTGCATATCTGTTGGTAGAAGAAGCCTCGAGGAATATTTATTTTCTCTAGTTAACAAGTGATTTTTCTCTGCATTATTGAATGATTTTTTTTAACTGTGTTTTTATTTTCTGCTTTTATGGCTATGTTTATAAAAGGTTCAACTTTACACTGATTTAGAGGTAGTTTTACACAGAGATCAGATTCTGTAGTTTTTAATAAGCTGCATCAGCTCATGCTGCTTGCTGTTATTAAGCAAGGTAAATAGGAGTAGTTGTATAATTGTTTTGTTATTAAAAATAATTACTCTAAAATGAAGTACAAAATATTTAGTATAAATATATGTCTCACTACTATTCACTCTTTGGACACAATTAAACATGTGTGTTAGGTTTTTTACCAGCCATTCTAGACCACATTGTGCTCAACTTAACCATAAAATTTTATCCATGTCCTTAAAGATTAAAGTCGAAAAAGATTTTCATAAACATCATAAAATAGCATTTATGACATTTTCTTAAGGTTGTGATAATTAGTGAATTGATTTTAACTACATGCATAACAGTTTTTGACCTTCACTAACACCTTTTTTTTAATCACCAGCTGAGAAAGTTATTTTGGTGTCATGATAATCTTTGCTTTTCTCAAAATAAAGATCTGGAGTTTGGTGAAAATATTTTAAGTGTTAAAGGTTAAAAATCTAGGTTGCTTTAGACTCAAAACTTAAAGGTATGTAGCATGAAAAGTAAACTTTTTTCACGTTCACTTTTGAATATTTTGGTATTATTTAAAAATTTGCTTTGAGGCAACGATATTAATATTAAGTATATGTATATATTTTTTAATTTACTGTTCCTTTTTACCAGTTATTTTGTAGACTAAGACATGTTCAGTAATACTAAAAATTATATTTACTAGCATAAAATACCTGCACTCATCTGTGGGTTTCAAATGGCCTTTTATGATTCACAGAAGCTGACTGTACCAAACAAGATCCTCCATTATTCCCAATTACTTCTATAGCTACCCCAGGAAGGCATACCCTCAAAAAACCCTCATAAGGACATCCAGCCATGGTACCCAAGCACATTTTCCATGTTTGATTGTTCCTGATGAGTGGGTGACCTTCAGGTCAAATTCTTCCCCCTCCCTTCATACCATCTATGCCTTTTAAATGAGGAAACCCCTGTTTGTAAGAGAGACATAAAATTACAAAACATACATACTTCCTCTCCCACTTATAGCTATTACTTGAAGCCAGGGTTTCTTCCTTTGTCCATCTAAGCATTGGTCTGATTTTTCCTTGCTTGCTCCAGTTTTTTCCACTTAATTGCCCTTGACGATATTTGTTTCATGACACTCCATCTACATCAGTGTGCAGTCTATCCTGGTACTGTATAAAAGCACCTCATTCACATAATGTTAACACTTTTTCTCGACAAAGCATTCACTAACAGGTTTCTCTGTACTAGTACTAAAATCCTTGGAGATTCTTTGTACATTTTCATAATAATAATTAAAAAAGTTGATATGTGGTATAAATTCACATCTTTCCTATCCCACCTATGACATCTAGCATTGCACAACATCGGGGGGGGGGGGGGGTCACTCCTGGTTGAGACTGTCAGTGAGATAGAGACGTATATTCAGTTCAATGGTGTTTTTCCAAGGGGCTCTGAGGCTCCTAATGCAGGCAATCCTGGACATTGCTAACCGCCATGGTTGTTGGAACTACATGATTTAGCCTACCACTGTCAGGTGGACATATATTTCGACTCAACTACTACATCTGCTTCTTGAAATTATAAGTTCTAAGGTGGAGTTGGTATTTCACCTCAATAGATTAATGTCCCCTGGTTGAACAGAGGTATGTCTATGGGCTTACAACTTTAACATCCAACGTTGTTTTCCTAACATTAAACCTTGTTGGAAGACTCTCAGAATCTACAACTTCATTACTGATGAGCTGGAACCATTGGTAGCATGCTCATTGGTGCAATTGTCAGCTTCTACATTCATCCCTGTTATCATTGGCATCTTGACTTTTATTGGCACTTACAGGGGATCATAGTTCCACACCTTTTCAAGAGTCCCGACATCAACCTCTTGATACATTGGTACCCAGAATACATTTTGTCCATATCCTTGGGTTCCATTGCTTGGTTGGAATGCCGCTGGTAGTGTCAGGGATTATTATATGCCTTAGGGGTCTGTGGGGGCTTGGCTCTGAGAATTTCTAGACATGGGGTAACCTTACCCTCAGAACCATGGGTACTGCAGGTCCTTGAGTTGGAATTAGTTGTGCGGTTGACATCTTCAACTCCATTATCCACCCAACCTGTAGGGTTTCTGTCTTTTGCAAATCCTCTGATTGATTTTGGAATTTAGATCTGTGGCTATCAGAGTCTGCTATAGAGGGAGTGTCGTGCTAGTTCTTCCGGTTTTTTATTCCTGTCAGTTGTTGGGTCTAAGAGATAGGAGATGGATGTCCAGCCTCATGTATATCAATTCATAAATTCGTCCAGATTCACAAGTGATTCACTCCTAAGTAGGAGTTGGGTTTTTTACTATGATTGTGGATGTCGAAGTTTGATTTAGTCGGCTCCTATCTGCATATTTCAATAATGGAGGTATCCCACCACTTTCAGTGTGTTTCGTGCACAAGGATCAGGTACTGCAGTTCAGGATTCATACTTTTGGATATCTTTATTACCCATTCAAGCTGTCTCCAACCATTATTAGTCTCAAAGTAGGTAATTCCGAATGAGGAATGGTCCCATCTTGGATCCTTGGTTGAACACAGTTTTTCCACATCCTCCCCATAATTCCAGGGGCAAGCAAAATTTACCTAGCCAACACGGTTGGGGAGTGAAGATGAATGTTCATAATTCCAGACCGGATGAGTTCTGTTTTCTTTGGTTGTGTAAGGCATATTCAATCCCGTCATTCTGAGCATCAGGTGTTGCCTTTCATGCTTCTTCAGGTGGAGGAGAAAATTTATCCATTTTGTGATTCTGGTGGCTCAGAATACATCACTCTATGGCTACAGATTGGTATCTACTCTTAAGTGCATATATATATATATATATATATAACGTTGCAGTCCAGTTTCCTTAGCCAACAACGTGCATTAAAGGACCCTTTAATTCCAACCCCAAGTAGTGGAACATTGGCTGTCTGGTTGGGGCTGGTCTATAGTGATGATCACTCATGTACAATTCCACCTACAATGCAGGAATTAAGTTTAGAGTGAAGAACATACTTGTTCTGAATGTAGTGTGATTCCCCAACTAGGGAGTCAATCTTCTATTGACAGACTCATTATTTATGTAGAAGCTTTTTGTATGGATAGGATAGTGCCTTCACTGGCCCCTTCACTTTCTCAATGTGGAATTCTAGCTATAAGTGGGAGTGGATGTATGAATGTTTTGGAAATTAACATTTTCCTAAATGTGTCCCGTCGTATCATAGCCAATCAGAACATGCCAATTGATCAAAGCAAATGCCTTTTCTTAACCAAGTTTATCAAAGATCAGATGCAGCCTGATGGTACGATGATGCTGACTTGTTCCTGTGACTAAGGAAGCATTGGGACCAAATTGTTGTGTTCTGTGTAGGGCCAACAACAGAACATCAGTGTCATGTGGATAAAGATGAATTTGAAGACCTTTACTTGCATCTTCAACAGCAGGGAAGATTATAAGAGTATCAGCTTCTTCCTGGTTCCCTCTTGAAATTGTTCATTGTTCACCATGACATTCTTTCTTGTAGCAGTCATCAAGTTCTCCATTTTGCTTTTGTCAGTCAACTGTGTTGATAAGTACAGGGTAAGTAAGTCCTTGATGCTGTTGCTTGCTAGAAAAGACTTCTGGTCTTTTATGGGAGTTAAGTCTTCAACAACGTAAAACTTTAATCCCTTTGAGTTTTCTCTACGTCTTTCCCTGGTTCCGTCTTTTAAGGATAAAACATTTGTGTAATTGTCAAACACGATCCTTACTTATTGATATCCTCTGGCTATACTGTCAGTTAGTTGAACATATGCTTCACCAAAGTCTTGACATGTCCTGAAGTTCCTGACAGATAGGAGTTCATGTACTACAGCCATTCCATCAACAACCAGACGTTGGTACATCATGACTTTTGTCCATATTCTGAGATGTCTTGGTATTGTTGCTGTCATCCTGTACAATATTTTCCAGGAGATGGATGACCTGGCTCTTGTCATTTGTTGGATGAATGGTTTCATCTGGTTGCATGAATGTTCTG